GATGTGCAAGACACTTGGCATCGAAAAGACTCACACGACAGCTCTCTATCCGCAATCGGATGGGATGGTAGAGCGATTCAACAGAACCCTAGAACAACATCTGTCTAAGGTTACTGATGACCGACAAGACGACTGGGACACCCATATCCCCATGTTCCTCATGTCATACAGAGGATCCGTTCATAGCACCACAGGATATGCCCCAGCGAAGATGTTATTTGGTTGTGAGCTTCGTCTACCATGTGACCTGTTATTTGGGATTCCGAGAGATACGCCAGTGTCTTCAACTGAATATGTCACCAATCTCCGAAGACGATTGGAGAATGCTCATGTATTGGCCCGCAGAAACATCAAGACCAACAGTGACCTGATGAAAACAAGGTATGACAGACGGGCCAATACGTCGGGGTTCCATGAGAATGATCTAGTGTGGCTCTATAACCCACAGAGACGAAAAGGCAGATCCCCGAAACTCCAAAGAGACTGGGAAGGTCCATACCGTGTCGTAAAAAGAATAAACGACGTGGTCTACCGGATACAGAAAAGTCCACGGTCCAAACTGAAGGTTGTCCACGTTGATCGACTCCATCAGTACCGTGGTGAAATAGAGACTGTTCGGGACGAACAGATCTAAGAAGGGGGCAGTGTTATGACCCTATTGGCGGCGCAAAAGGGTTAACTATAGGCTCAGTTGACACACACGAGAATCACTCAGGTCAGCGGGGGCCATGGACAAGGGACAGTACTACGATTACATGATTACACGCAAATATGACCAATGTTATGGTCATGTGATCGAAAGCCTGCGTGTACGAGTGACACAGTGCATAGAAAAGCGGGAGTTCAAGACCGGAGAGCGTCGAGACCAGCACAGTTAGTCGCCATGAGATCGGTCCTGGTTGAGTCCTGATGTGTTGATGTACAAGTCCAGAAAGAGAGACAGTAGAGTTCTTTAAGTTGGTGATGTACAGAGTGACATTTTAGTTGTTGATGTGTTTGACGCCAATTGTCTAGTATTGGCTGTTATCTACTTATTCACTCATTATTAAAGTACCAGATTATTTGGAGCCTTGTTGTCAAGTTCTTGATGTGTTGATGTATGGTGTTGTGTTTAGCAGTGTTTACAGAAGGTCAGAAAAGGAGGGAGAATCGTAACAATATATATATATATATATATATATATATATATATATATATATATATATATATGCGGCCCTCCAGTCCCCTATTTATTTTTAATGCGGCCCTCCAGTCCCCTATTTATTTTTAATGCGGCCCTCGGCAGAAAAAGTTACCCACCCCTGGTCTACATTATGAAGCTTACATTTCAATATAAATGTGTGTCATGCTAATCCACACAAGGAAAAAATATCACCATAGTCATGGTAAGGGAAAACAAGAAAAAAATAAAATAAATCGATGTATAGTTGTATCAATTAGTTTGGATCAGTCATGGAATAAAGTTTGTAATAGAACTAGACAAACAAACCTGTGTGATTATAAATATTTTTACCAACTGTTTTAGTGATATTTTTACCAATTGTTATTGTTTAGTGCTATTTCATGCTTTTAGCTTCCTTAATATGATATGAACCTTTTACTTATCTGGACCAGTTGGGGAAAAAAAAGGGGGGGGGGAGAAAGAAAGGGATATCTTGGTAATTTTTATAAGCATTTTTTTTTTATTTTAACGATGAACGATCTGAATTCACACTTTTGTCATTCTAACCACTTTGCTAGTGAGGTGTGTATGAAAATAGAAGATTGTATAATTATCTATTGTTTGTTTCAAACTTACTTTAAAGTTGTGTTGTCAGGTAAAAGAAAATAATTGTGCAAAATTTCAGCTTGATCCGAGAGAATAACAAATAAAAACTTTTTACCAGACATACAGGGTGTGGTGGAATAAGTCCGCCGATCGGTTCGTTTGCACTTCCCGATGGGGACAATGGCCTGCGACTCCTAGCGGTAAAGTCTTAGAGCCACAACGTGGTAAATATTTGGTTGATATTATATAGGCACATAGACAGGCACAAGCAAAACGCAAAGCTTATTGATTTTGTGAAAGAACAATTATTTAATAAAGATTAATTAAGAAGAAATACAATCAGTGAGTGAGGGGGGGATGAACAGGAAGATTTAGGATTTTATGATAACGTTTAAGATAATATCATCACTGGGATGTTGCTCATAAAGATTCGTGTATAGTTTGCTTATTCGGCTGTCTCTCACTTATCTGTTATTCAAGGTTCTCCTTCGGGGTTGGGTAAGTTGAAGCTCCGTTGAGTTGTAGCTAGTTGCTGGTGCCCTGCGAGTAGGCAGGCACTGGTGTGATGAATATGAGGATGCCACGCGGTGGGCTTACTCCCGTGGTAGTTGCAGACCGGTCCTGGGACTTCAGCCTGGAATGCCTTCAGTTCTTAGCCGAGGGTGATGAGTGACTCACCCTCAACGGGAATGTGTGGAGAGCTGCTGAGGTCTGCCTTCAGGCAACCAAACACTCCAGCCCTGGTGTAGGAGGCCGCTTTGCCTTACACAAGTTCCCAAATGAATCGTTGACTTGAGAGTCTTCTGACTTCTCAGTGATTCTGATCTAGAATGGCATTCACCTGAAACTTTCGTGTCCGGCTTTTATAGGTTCCCGAGCGGTATGTTAAGAGTAGTGACGATCCAATGGCCAGCGAGTCTTTTGAGTTTAGAATTGTCAAATTGGACCGATCTTTTCATTTGGGGCTCGCTCACCTGACTTCTTTAACCCGCGACCCGGGAGGGAGGACGAAGGAGGATGAAAACGGAACCATGCAACAATTATCAGGCTGGACCATCGCTCGATGGTACAGCGGACGGGAACGATTTGAATAGCCCTGGGCGTCAGGAATGTCGACTCAAAGGGATGTACGTGGACACCAAAATTTAATGTCCCTGGACTTCACGGTTTCGTGCTTTTGTTTCGGCGTTTGGGGCGTAACTTTCAATTTTAATGTTCCTGAACTTAACGGCTACGTACGTTTGTTTCGGCGTTTGGGTGTAACTTGGGATGTGTGTTTATGGCCTATAATTTGGGGGTTGGATCTAACCTTGGTGTAGTAGGATATTTGTGTTCTACACTGGTCGGTTTGGTGTTAAAAGGGGCTATACAATGCTAACTAGTGGTTAAGGGGGGGGGATAGTTCCGCACTGGTCAGTTCTGTATTGAGAAGGGACGCGTTTCGTCACACAGAGTAAGTCGATATAAGCCTTGTAATCAAAATGTTTGTGGGGTCATTTATCCAAAGTAAGTTTAACCAGAAAATGAATAATATATTCATAACAAGAAGAATAGCTTAAAAAGAATGAGATCTAGAGGTGTTTCTCTACCATAGTGGCCTGAGTATCATCAATCTATGGTTATCTGTCACAACTTCTCCTTATAAGGAGTAGGTGATGTTATATTTACTTTAGCCTAAAGTATGTTCACAGTGAATAGCAAAACATTTCATCACCCTCATGTCTTGAAAACTTTGATCTGAATACTAGCTTGATAGGACTCGTGACCTGCAGGCCTTAGGTTGGGTAGTACTGATCACTTTGGGTATTACTGATCTAGTATATTGGATTTAGACCTAGACTGTGTAAATGGGTTTAGCTGATAAATTCATATCAAATATAAAATACTGTGAAAATGGTTTGTCCGATTTGTTTAAAAGTTTTGTTATTTAACAGAGATAAATTTAGGCTTTTTTTTTTTTTTTTTTTTGCTATCCAGTTTTGGGAGGGACATTAAAAATAACTTTAGTCTCTGCCATGATCTAAGGAACATTTATGCCAAGTTTTATCAAGATTGGTCAAATAGTTTTGTTTTCAATTGAGGGACATACATACATATAACTTACATACAAGTATATATTTTAGATACATTTAACATTGAGATTCTAACAGACTAGCTGAAGATATTAAATATATTTAGTCAGAAGAGATTTCAAGCAGCCATTTATATAATAATAATTGAGCTGTGATAACATTACAAACATAAAAACGAGAGCTAAAATGACAAACTAATATTTTTAAACAATCCATTGTAAGCTACCCCATATAACAAGGCCTAACCCTAACCATACAACCTTTTGTTATTTTCACCTGAGTGTAATAAAAACATATTTTGAAAACTGTTTGTAAACGCAGCAGCTACTTGCAGTTCTTCCATAAGCCTGCACTTTTGTTGTTAATAACTAAGTATACATAGTGTATGAATATTTTCAAAATATGATCTAAAAGGTGACTCTTGTAAATCCTCAAATGTACAGTTGTTGGCTTCCTTCATTGTGTTAAGTAATGTATGAACTACACTGAGTTGCAGTGATAGACTAGAAGCGTGTATAACACAAACTCTTTTGTAGGCAGCCCCTGCATGTGTGTGATACTAGCTCCAATGAATATCTTGATACTTTGCACATCCTGCATGTGTGTGATACTAGCTCCATGAATATCTTGATACTTTGCACATCCTGCATGTGTGTGATACTAACTCCAATGAATATCTTGATACTTTGCACATCCTGCATGTGTGTGATACTAGCTCTAATGAATATCTTGATACTTTGCACATCTTGCAGGAGTGTGATACTAACTTCAATGAATAGCTTGATACTTTGCACATTCTGCATGTGTGTGATACGAACTCAAATGAATATCTTGATACTTTGCACATCTCAACACATATTCAGTGGTTTTCAATGTTTAAGACCAAAAGAAAGAGCACTAAGACAAATCATGTACTGACTAATCTTTTTTAAATTTTGCTTTTCTAAAAATAAATGTTGATCTTTTTTAACTGATATTCTTGTTAAGTGAACTAATTAGTCACCAACCATACTTGTGACAACCAATTGCTAATATAAACCAACCATTTATTTTTGAGATTCTAAGACAATAGCTTGGGGATCATGAGATACAAACGACAAGATAATAATATACAAGACAATGGATTCAATTTTAAATATGAGAACAAAATAACAAATATATTACATTACTCCATCCATTGTTTATTAGCATTTATGTACATTAAAATAAGCATATACAATAGTCAACCACAACTACAAGCATGTAACTTTATCACAGAACAAAAACAAAATGCAGCCAATGTAATAGGGTTAAAAATTTATTGCTCAACCCAACAAACAAAAATAAAAAAAACAGAACTATCCTTCATTATATATATATCATAGGTCCTAAAGGTGTGCTATAGCAGTACAAGAAAAACTGACTAAGAATTTAATATGAAGAGAGATGCTGGTTGAATAAATGATAGAAATAGTATGGAGAGTAATTTTTTGCTTAGGTTGTCACACCTTATATAGGTAATAAATAAATAATTAATTAGTCAGTAATTATTGGTAATTAATCATTTAGTTTGATATTAAAAAGGGAAATAACTTCTACATTATTGAGATATAATTTTTAAGGGCAAAGTTCTTCCATATTAGATAAGCTTTGCTTTTTTTTTTTTTTTTTTTTTTTAGAATTTTTATATTTGGCTTGTTTTTTTTGTATGTCCCCCTTCAGTCATGAAGTGACTATGGATAATCTCATGAGAACAAATTGTTCTAGGTAAAAGGAAATAACATTAAAATATTGTTATCCCTTAAATCTTAGATTGGTGTCAGCATGTATGAAAAAAAAAAGTAAACAAAAAATTAAAAGAATTACTTCAGAAAAATATAAAACTACAATACAACCCTTGTTTAAATGTTTCATTTTTTTTACAAAATAACATACAATACTCTGATAGTTTCCAAAAAATAAAAAAACAAAACACAATTACTTGCTGAACTATATTAATACAAATAGTTTGACAAGTAAATGCAGACATTCATTTCCACCTTTCCATAAACAGTTATGCACCAAAGTGTAGGTGATACATTCTACATTCAACCTGATCAATGAAAGAGAAATGAACATCAATTATTTTAAAATGTTTATAATATAAATCTTTCAAAATATATGCAGTTTAAACTATTTAAAATATCTTTTTTTTTAAAGAAACCAGTAACTTTATGATACAGTACATGCATTTTATAAGAACTGAATTACCAGTTCATATACAATTGTTGACTTTAAAAGTTCAGTATATTATTGTACATCTTGAGCTCTTAAATAAATGACTAAAGATAAAATAAAACAATATTCACTTAATTTTTATTCAGCGCTTTTGAATTAGATTAAACTCTATCTCTCCTAACTGTCGATACCAACATTGATTCCACCAGAATGTGGTAAATAATTATGGAGAGAAAGAGTTCCCAATATGAAATATCACAGAGATGAGTCATTTCCTTTTTCTGTTTCTAAAAACTCTGCAACCCAAGGTAAACCAGCAGTAGATAAGTCTTCTTGTTCTTGCTTTTGCAAATCTGTTAGATTTTTTTCTGCTGATTTGCCACTCACCCTTAGGTGCTTAAGTATCTGACAGTTCCATTGGTCATCGGTCAAATCCTTTGCCCAATCAGGGATGCTTTCTTTGGGTAATGAAAATCCAGACATTGCACCAAGTATCTTTGATTCTTGAACTAAAAAAAAATTTCAAACAAAGAATGCCTGTTAAACAAGTCTGATCACACAGCTTTCCTTTTAAACTTGAGTAGACATATTTAATGACAAGCAAAACAAAAACAAAAATACTTTAAAAAAAAAAACAAAACAACTCATTAAGTGTAGTTGTATCAATTAATTTGGATCAGTCATTTGATTCAATTTGTAATAGATCTAGACCAACAATAATAAATCTGTGCGATTAGAAATATTTTTTTACCAATTGTTTTTGTTCATGTTTCATGCTTTTAGCTTTCTCAATACGCTATGATCCTATCCCTTGTCTGGACCAGTTGGAAAGGGGTAGAGTGGGGAGAAAGAAGGGGATACATGGATTAAAACTTTTTTAATGTATTTATAAAAAAAAAAAAAAAAAAAAAAAAGGAGCAACCTGACTTTGAACTGGAGGGCTAAAGCCTCCTCAAGCCAATACAGTAACCACTGTGCCAAGGCACTGCTTATAAAAATAACTTTTATAGTTATTTAATAGTTTGTTGTTGGTATGTTTGCCCACAAACAATAAAGGGGAATAATTCAACTTATACCACTTTATCAGTCAAGGACAAATTTCTTTCCCTTGTTCGAGATACAACACAAAATAATTTACCCTCTTAAGACAGAGCCTTTGAGCATGTCTTGTGCCAAAAAGACGGAGCACTATTTCCAGCCTAAATACTTCTCTTACAAAAAAATTCCTAACAAATAAACTATACATATTTTTCAAAACACAATAATGAACTTATACAATATTATGGAATCCATTTGAAATATAAACATTTATTAAAATAAGGCAAGCCAATTTGCATAATTTATGTGCATAAATTTCCAAAAAAACATTTTTTCGAAACAGAACAGAATTAAAAAAGGTAAGAGTTTTTTAAAGAAGTTTTAGGCCTGAATAAGCCCTAATACATGTGTTTAGAGAAACAAGGCACATGGAGACACTTCTATCATAGTATTTTACTACTTTTCTCCCCCCCCCCCCCCCTTCCATGTACCATAGAAACAAACACCTTCATTTTGGCCACAGTGAAAGCCACCCATTTATGAACAAGGGATCTTCTTTTGAGCTGTTTGTTGGTCAGAAAGTTGGCATCATGTTTATTAATCTCCCTGATAAACATTTAAACTAAACTGATAATAAAATAGAGCATAAAACGATCTATGGGGTGCTAACCCCCAGGTACTCAAATGGGTCATCTCTATCCAGCTCCTCACCCTTACCTCTAAATCATGTTACCAACACATAACTAGATCTAGATTTAGTAGTAGTGTAAACTTAGATCTAAAGCTTTCTTCAATACTGATTTTTATTAGGGCTATCATAGTTTAAATAAAATCAGAGTCAGTGAGTTTGCTTTCATCAATATCACCGGCTGACATTTTAATATTTTCACCTGTCACTAGGTAACTTCAAAAAATCAATACAAACAAATTATCCAATAAAAACAGGAAGAAAGATGCCATTATAGTCTACTAATGTATAAAAATAGTAAGAACTAATCTGATTGGCTGATACAAACACTGGCTAGCCAATCTTTGGGTTAGAAACATTGTGGCCGATATATCGGCCGCTTTGTCTTTTTCGCCAAATTGCCTTGGGCTGATATATCACCTGCGTCCTCTTAAGAAGGTTAATTACTAATAGTTATTTAACTAATTTGGTAAATTTTTTTAGAAGTAAAAATAAATCATTGTGCAATATTTCAACTGAAATTTGATGTGAGAGAAATAAGGCGTACAAAGATATAACCAGACAGACAGAGTGATTTGATATAAGCTTTTTAAAAAGGGTAGTCAACAGAAACATCATCACCAATAATTATAAAAGACTCCCCCACCCCACAAAAAAACTATTGATATTAGAAATAACCAGTAAAAACTTTAGATAACAGTATTTGTATTAATTTGTATGACTATTTTACAACAATATTCAAATTTATGAAACTAATTGTATAAGATTGCTATTTTTTTTTATAACTTTAGCATAACAAAACACTTGCTAACAAATAGATTCTTAATGTTTTGGTTCTATTACCATAAATTTATAGATAAAAAATCAAAATATTTAATAAACTAAAAATAAACTAGGTCAAGGTTCTATTTACTGTAGACCATGAAACAAGTGTAATGGCATTATTTAGTAAATGGTTTGGTGTTGCGAAAGTTATTATCTAAGAAAAAAAATTAGGCCTACCAGAATCCAATGATAGTCTACTTGCATTTTGAGGTTTTTGGTTCCACAAATGTTTTTCTTTCTCTTTAGAAACAGACAACACCTGAACAAAATAACATAGTTTTGTCATTTAGCACATAGGGAAACATATTTAATATTACAATAAAATATGTTAACTATTTTTTGTTTATAGTCACCTGTAGATATGAAGGAACTTTCCCATCTGGGAATTTTGCCAGAAATGCTGGATGATAGGATTCGTTTGTTTCTATCACTCTGGAAGCAGAAGCACCCCTTTCTAAATCCAGTGAAGCTTCTGGCTGGGAGCTGCAATCCGAATAGTCCAAAGTTAACATCTCTTTGTATTTCTCAGAACCATTATCTGCATTCATCAAGTGATCATCAGCTTCATCTTCATCATCTTCAGGATCTTGTGGTAGTAATGTGTAACCAGCTAATGCACTTTCATCATAGTTATCTTCATCATCACTTGACCCAGAAACTCCAGAGAAGATCTGGTTAGCATTTGAAAAGCTATTGATTTCAGACTCATCATTATCTGTATCTGATGGCTTGTCTTGATTTTTTTCTGGTATTGGTGCCATTGCTCACTAAAAAAATAAAATAAATGGAAATTGTTAAACTTATTTAAAATTAATTATCATGATAAGACAAATCATTCATACTTTTTAAGGTTACAGAAGCTTAGTTTTTAAGTATCTAGATTCTCTTCTGGCTAGTAAGATTTGAGAAATGTTCTGTCCTTCCCCTATTTCTAATCAGAAAATTACTGACCAAACTTTTGAGGCTGTCTAATAATAAAGAAGGTGCAATCATTCTACTAAGTCACTCAAATGGCTTTCATTTAAAATCTGTCTGTAATACAGCACTAGCTATTCTTAACAATCAGGCAAAGCGTGTATATTTACATACACAGAAGAATGATTTGTGATTTTGGGCACATCGGCACAATTTAGGCCATGTCGTGCCTGCAGTCCCTCAAGGGCCACTCTCCCTCCACACAGCAAAGGCCAAATTCCATACAGTCAAATCATTAAAATCAAGGTCTATTCACAGTTAAAATAGTAGAGGTAGGAAAAAATTTAATAATTTGGTAAAAATCTAATGTAAATAGTACATGTCTACAGAATTCATAAGTCAGATCTTCGTAGACAACCCCACTTCCCGGATAAAGCCCAGTACCTTCCCAGGGTCGACATTATTGAATAGTGTTTTTAAATTAGTGGCTCTAAAATATTTTTCCCTGACATCCTGGTATCTGGGGCAGTCGATGAGGATATGTTCCACGGTGAGGCGAGAGTCACAATACTCACAAAGTGGGGGCTCTTCTTTCTTCAGCACAAAAGAGTGCGTGATGTAGGTGTGGCCAATCCTAAGTCTGGACATGGTCGTGCTACCACGCCTTGTCAGACCCTTAGATGTGGACCGCCACCTGACATCCGCCACAATCTGCCTGAGTTTATTGTGAGTCTCAGCCTCCCATCGGTCCTGCCACTCTCGGTAGATGGCAGAGGCAATACTTTGTCTCAGGTCTGAGCAGGGAATTTGAGTTCCTGACACAGCATGATTTAGGGCTCTCTTTGCTTCTCTGTCTGCGGCTTCGTTTCCCTCAATGCCCACATGGGAGGGGACCCAGATGAAGGTGACATCCGTATGGTCGGCTGTTATTTGGTCCAACAGCTTCAGGCTCTTAGGTACCAGTGGAATGTCAGTCTTCATCCGCCCCAAAGCTT